TCTTTTACAAGTAGAAGGGTAAGGTAGATAGATATTTTAGGATAGAAGGATAAAATGATATGTAAGTTTCATAGATATGCATATATATACAATAGCAAAAATAAAAAGTATATTTCTGGTTATTCCTTACTATAGAAATAACTAGAAATTTATTTTTTATTCTCACTATTGCATATATGCATTAGAGATGCAACCTGTTATTTATTTAAAGTTTAATATATATTTGGGTATCTGGATTATAATAAAATTAGCTAGTAGATATTTGGATCGTATCTCTAGTACCATTATCACCAAAGGGAAGTAGCTTATTTTCAGAACTAAAATTTTTTTTAATTATCTTTTGGTGTGACAAAGGGTAGCTTATTTTCGGGTTAAAAACATTTTTACATTTTTGGATTAAAACTAAGGGTAGCTTATTTTCAGAGATAGCTTATTTTCGGCAATATATAGTAATGACCATCAAATATTTTGCCAATTTTTAGACAATCTTATACACTTGTAGAACAACATTTAAAAATACCAATAAGTTAATTTCAACAGTACTATTATCAGCTAAATCTTCAAATAACTGTTATAATAATAGTCCATTACCTCAATTAGCTAAATCTTTAATCAAATATGATAATAATGAGAGCAATGATTATGAGAATAGCATCGATCTTGATAATAATATTGTTATATCTGAAGAGAAAGAGAAGGATCAAGCAATCAAGAAGAGAAAAGTCAAAGCGTTCAAGAGGAAGATGATTGAAGTGATCATGCTGATACTGAACCTGATTTTGCTAATAACAATATTAAAGTTGTAATTAGTGATTCTGTTTAAGAGCTTTTTATCTATATTTTTGTAAATAACTCCTAAATATATACTTCTTCTATCGAAAAACCATATTACTTGACCAAAATTTATCTTAGTATTTGTTTTATTTGTGGTAGTCCTAATATTGAAAAGACAAAAAATATATATTCAACTTGTAATAACCATACTACAAATTCAAAAAATATTATAAATAGAAGTTGATAGATAAAAATAATAAAAAAAATCTTGTAATAAAATATTGTAAAATCAAAAATCTATTAGTGCCAAAAATAGTAGCATTATTTATTGTATGTATGTATGTTGTAAAAAGAAAAAGTCATATGGGATCGATATCGAAGTGGTTCGAGTCGATGGGTAGTTATAATAGTAATGATATATAGAGAAGAAATGGCAGCAATATTAGTAAAATTTTGTATCAATGAAAATATATATAAAGTCTTATAATTTCGTTCAAAATAAAGACAACTCCCCTTGAGTTCAAAAACTACAAAAGTATTTGAGTAGTAATTCTCCTAAGATTCTTACTGAATAATAAAATCGTTAACATATATCATATTTTTTTGTTCTTAAGATTCGTAAAGACTAGTTATCATTAGTGCATTAAAAGCAAAAGAGAAAGATCATATTAATAATTAACTTTAACTTATATAGAATTGTTAAAATTAATTAAGTTTGTGATTAGCCTTATTGTTAAAAAACCAATATATACATAATTACTATTACTCTTGAATCGTAATTCTATAATATGTAATACCAAAAATCAGAACCCAAAAATTTGTTGAAACCTAGACACACTTGAAGAGTAAA